CAAGGCGAGCCTGAACCAGTCCTGGGTGAAGAGCTATGAAGATGTGCTGGAGAACATCAAGACCAAGAAGGTCCAGGTGGTGGACGCCAGGTCTGGTGGCAGGTTCCAGGGTACCGACCCAGAACCAAGAGGAGGTGAGGAGGGCCTAAAAATGCATTGTTAACAAACATTAATAAATGCTTAATGTGCTTGTGTAATAATCCTAGAATCACACGAGACCAATTTATGTAGGAAATGGGCTGAAAATGAAACCTGACATGGGATAGTCCAAAGACTCAATGCCACAGACTACAGCCAGCCAGACTGACTGTGTTTTACTGGTTTTGAGTCAAGAGGTCAACTTTATTTGTGGCAGGAAGAGGTTGTAAAGGAAAGGAGTTAATTAAAAATAATCAAGAGTTATCTGTTGTCACTCCATAAAACCATAAAAAGCATGCAAAATCAGTTGTGATAGACAGAAATAAAGTAATTACTGGAGATGTGCTTGTAAGCATTTTGTGGTCAATGACTGATCTTTGATAAGGCGTTGACTTGAAGATATTGGTTTCAGGTTAATTTCATTTCTCTTTTAAGAGGTAAAATATAAGCACAGCATTGAAAACTGTTTATTTTATAAGTGGGAGTGGAAGGTCTCTGTAAAACAGGATTATACTATTAAGACAAAATAAGAATGGAGTTGAAATGTAAAAAAACTAAAATTAGCATTGCTAGTTACTTGGGTCATCTAGCCTATAAGTTTCCAAATCTAGTATGTTCCATCATAGACGTTGAAAGCTCAAAAGAATGAAATGGAGAAAATTTTCTGTAATACAGTTTGCCTTCCTGTTATCGGCTGAAAGACTCACTCTCTCACACTTCATCTCAGAATTCTTTGTTTTAAATACTTTTACTGTCTTTACTTCTGACTTTATGTGAAGCACACCACTGATACTGCAAATGATAAACCTTCTTCCTTCACCTTCTTCCTTCAGTAACAACTTCCACAGTTAGGAGTAATGTTACCATGACGCGGTTGCACTAATTTTTACTAAATTTTTTCAGTTTTCCAACAATCGGTTTCCAGCCGTTTTCTTGGTGCATCTCTAGAGAACACAGTGCTACAACAATAAAGTTGAGTTGTTGAATGCAAACAAGATTAGGTGGGTCTTCATTCCCACTTCAGATTATTATTAGACTAAAATGGAGCTGTGACTGCAAAGGTAAAATCACATTTAGATTAGGTTATCAAAGTACTGATTTCCCCCAATGCTATTGATAAATATGTAAAAGTTCCGGTTGATGAGGGGCCAAACTATTCAAAACCAGCAATGAAACCTTAAAATAAATTCTATAACTAACAGGAGTTTGGTGAATATGAGGCCGTCAATAATGTTATGTTGTCATTTCTTTTCTATTGTCCTTAAAAGTTACGATTTCTGTTGGGATAAAACCATAAATCTTGGCTAAAAATCATTGTCATCCTGGTTCAGCGATACTGAGAGCTGATATGAGGCCTGAAAAGCTTGTTGGCTTGGAGATGAAGCTTCCCTTGGCAGCCACGCCCCGTTGCTACACACAGTTGTTTTTACTCACAATGACAGTGCACAAATTTACCAGTCTGATTACTACAGCAGGAAAGCACTACAATGTGAACTCTGAACGTTTTATGAGCCAAATGACTTCATTGAAAGTTCGGCTTCTTGCAGTTCTTGAACTTTACTAGTTGAAAACAAAATAATTTTTTGACACTCTTTCCCCATTTATCCATCTCCCCTCAGATATACAGTCTGGGCATTTCCTCGGAGCAATCAACATGCCCTACACAACTTTCCTGGAATCTAATGGAAAGCATAAGAGCACCGAGGCCCTGACCAAGCTCTTTGAGAACGCTGGAGTGGACCCGAAAAAGCCGATCTGGGCTTCCTGCGGTTCGGGAGTCACCGCCTGCCACGTTCTTCTGGCTGCCGACCGGCTTGGACACACCGATCTTTATCTCTACGACGGCGCGTGGGTGGAGTGGTTCAAGAGGGCTTCTCCAGAGCTCATCATCTCTGAGGGGGAGGGAAAGAAGGCCTAAACCATTTTTAAAATAAGCTAGGAGCCGGATTAGGTTGCTGTTTGAAATGGGACTAGTCTGTTTGCTGTGGAAAGTAAGAGTACAACACTTAACTTATGCTGCAGGGTGTATATTTTCATTTACTAATGTTGGGATGATAGAGAATGCTATTAAAAAAACTTTTAACATAAATGAAGTGCTTTATAAATGTAAGTTAACAGAGGAAGATGTAGGTTTTCTGCAGCTGAAGAGCATTTTATGAAACATTTTGACATTATGCAGATAGGACTTTTTTAACAGATCTATGTATAATTTCTTATCTGTTTCTCTTCTGGTATCATCGGACAGCAGGGATGTTACATTCCTTGATTAATGTCCATATGTAATTATGCACGATTTGCTTTTGTTTCTGAGACATAAAATAAATAAAATGTTATCTTGGGTAAATGTGCTTTTTTTTCTTCAAAAGATGGAAAATATGTTAAGCTTTATATGCATAAAACGTCACTAGAAAAAGTCAAAAAGAAGAGAATTGCAAGCCTATCTGCTTGTAATTTCTATTCATACATTTGTAAAGTGTAGAGTTTTTATCTAATGTGGAATCCAAAATGTTTATT